ATGTTTGTAGTTAGAGTATTTCTTAGTCGATGCTTACTTTAACCTAAAAGCGACCGATGGAACAAATAGTATTGGTCGGAATCTGCTATAGCCACTATGAGGTCAATTTAGTTAAGGTCACGCACAGTGATGATTTACTTTATCCTCACAATTTGAATGGTAACACAGCTATCTAATTAAATTACGTGCCTATATTTATTTGAGAGTAAATTAGGCTTTCCAATTTCCTAAGGTTACCTCTCTTAGGATTTATAATGTAGTGCCTAAAATTTTTATCCCCATTTTGGTAGCACCTCAACGTAGCTCAGTGATGGTAACCTATATTTATAAATTTGCCATGAAATTTTCCTTGTAAAATCCACAGCAAGGCAATACTTACTTTTTATATTCCGGAAAAACATCTAAACTCGATTAGCAGTAAGTTTGGTAAACAAGATGGAATGGGGATCTAAGAGAAGTAGAAAGTAACTTCGAGGCAGCAAAGAGTCTTACCTCATATGATATTTAGTTTGACTTCTTAAATATTGACTTACTGATTACTTCATGTACTACTGAGCAAATACTCAACTACGTTATCCAATGCCTATTGAATGGTTATTTGTTTAGGCTGGTGAGCCTTGGAATAGATTGAGAAAGTAAGTTAAATTAAGGCTGCGAGAACTGATGGAGAGAGAGAGTTCTATTATTTTGAATAAGCTTGCAAATTGAATGAATAAGTAAAGTCCATCACATGAGTGTCCTTGGTGGTTGTACTTATTTGGCCAACAGCAGATATAATGGAATATGTGCACCAAATTTAAATAACATTAAAAGACGTGATGCGTCATTCCCACTCAGTAGAATTTGACAACCTAAATATCTTAGAAGTGTGTTGAATCCAATCCTTGTCATATTATTGATTACTAGTTTATCTCTCTTCCAATAATGAAACAAATGAGACCCATTATTAACACTTCTCAACAAGCAACCTGGTCCAAAAGGTTCATCTTAAAAAAGATCTTCATTGTTGATCAAATGTAGAAATGTCTTGCAGACACTAATAAAGTGATTGAATAATATCTACAAATGGCTGCAAATGCTATAATTTCCTTTTTAAGTTTCACTGACGCTTATTGGAAAGTAATCAGGTGCCCATATCGAGTAAAACCGACTTCAAAATGCACTTTAATAAGTCAAATGATCAGCCCTAACTTCTACGTTATCGTTCTCTAGCAGCTTAGTTTTAACCCGCTTAGAGCTAAAATTTAATCGTTTAAAGCAGTAGTAGGGTGACTACTCAAACAAGGTATGTTCATATGCTGTAAGCTTCATGCAATTTTTTTTCAGTTTAACTGAAAATTAATCACATGTGTGCTGCTAAAGGACTAGGCGAACGATCTACAGTGTAAGCACAGTAGAAGGCAGGAGTACAGAAGGGCCGAGTTAGCAGTAAGAGGCTAAGGACACGAGATGTTTTTGAGCGTGTGAACCGAAATGCTACACGTCAGTTGATGATTACCAAGCCGGCATTCGCTCTGTTATGAGATAAAGTTCCCCTGATTTGATAAAAGGGAACAAAGAATACTACTGATTTGGAAGAGATTGGAATATCAAGATTTCCCACAACACAGCTGAGATTACTTACATCCAAGTTACGATGATTCCTAAGTACCCAAATACTCCAACACAAACTTCTTCCGCTTTCAAGTGACGAAATAAATATGCCAACCCCCCCCCCCCCTTAGCACAATGCTCAAACAGGACAAATAAAAAGAAAAAACTATTTTTCATATGCAATTATTGCCCATTATCAAAGATAGATTGAAATAATCTTGTTTTTTTTGTTAAAAAGTGCTATAAACGATATTGTTTTCATAAACTCGAGTCGCTTTGTGAACACGATGTTCGCACCAGCAGTTGAGTAGTCATCGAGTAATAAACGAGTCGAGTCAGGGGAAGTGACACCAATGTGGATGATCACCTCAAAATCAGAATTGCTATACAAACAGGGATATGGAATAAAAGAAAAGGAGAGATAGAGGGGATAGAAGAATATACAGAATATTCATAAAGAACGAATAAAGGAAACAAACATGTAACTTTTCAGAAAAAGAATTCAAATACACACAGAAAGAAAGACACGGTGGATAGGTAGAGGGATTAAAACACGCCCAGCTATCGGGGGATCGGTGGTTGTTGAGACGGTAAGGGTTGGTGCTGCTGATGCGGCAGAACTCCATCCTGCAGCCTCTGCGATTGAGGATGGGGTTGCACTAGAAGTTGGGAGAGCATCATTGAATTTTGTTGCTGCTGGGGTGGACCTTGCTGGGGAGAAACATACATGGGAGTTTGCTGCGACCTTGGCGAAAGAGGCGGGCCGGGGAATCGATTCGACGGCACAGGAGGCCTGAGCATAACTCCAGGAGGTGGATTATTTCCATGTGGAAGAGGGGAAGCATAACGGTGGGAAGGGAAGCCACCCGGCTGTTGTTGTTGTACAGGGTAGGGGTTGTTTGGGACCATTTGTTGCTGCTGGGGATTCTGGCCGTAGGGGAGTTTACCGCCTTGAGGAGGAGCATAGCAAGGCTGACGTATACCCCAAGATTCCTGGGGTGGACCCGACTGTTGCATTTGCTGCTGCCAGGAGGAATTAGGCATTGTTACTTGACCTGGAACTTGTTGTTGCGGCATCAGTCTTTGGGGAGGAATATTGTTTGCATACCCTCCAGGACCAGGACCACCACCTCGCATCATCATCTGCTGTTGTTGAGACTGATTTTGCGAAACTGGCATAGGCTGAGACTGAGCATACTGGAGGGGTGGTTTTGACTGCACTATCCCTTTCTGATGCTGCTGCTGTTGATTTCGAACGTAATTCCAAGCGGGAATAAATTGCGGATTTTGGTGCAGCCAGGTGTTGAACTACAAGAAAAAATCAGTCATCAGATTAGAACTGAAAATAATCCGTTCCCATTCTCTCAAAGGGACGTTGTGAATACTATGGATATAAGACAAAACCAAAAAGACTATTTATAAACTGTATAAACAGCAAGGATTAAGGGAAACAAAATAACTTACATCCATATCATTAGTGAAGTTTCGTCTAGCGGAGATGACTGTTTCAACCTCAACAGAATTAGGAGCCTGGACGGCCGAAGAATTCATTAAATGAGCCTGAGAAGGGGAAGTTTGGTTGGGAGGAATTCCATGAACAATTTGATGGGGTGGTTGAAGAGGCATCTTGTTAACAGCAGGTGGTATGATCTGGCCAGAGCCACCATTAGACTGAGGTTGACCACCTGACCAATGCATAGCTGTCTGTTGCTGTTGATCAAGAATTTGAGCGTTGTTCTGCTGTTGCATACTGGATATCTGAGACTGTTGAGATTGTGATGGCATCATCATTCGCATTTGCTTTGGAGGAGGAGGCTGAGGACCAGACATGGAAGGGACGTTATTGTTATACATATTCCCACTTGGGCCCAACATATCGCCTTCATTGAAGTATGGTCTTTTAAGTGAACCTTGCTGTTGTTGCTGCTGCATTGTATACATATCCTTGTTTTCATTAGGATTCATTGTCGATGACTGCTGGGGTTGGAAGTGCGGTTGTTGTCTAGGACTCATAGACATCATTGGATTATTCATGAAGCCATGTCCACGTTGTTGTTGACCATTTTCATAGAATTGCTGAGGCGGCTGAGATGGGTTACTTTGCTGTCGAACAAAGCCAATGTCACCAGAAGATGAATAGCTTTTTGACTGATGAAGTTGTGGTGCATGTTGCATCTGCTGCTGGTAGACATTAGGCTGCTGTTGTTGAACAAAAGACGAAGCCACAGGTGTTTGCTGAAATTCAGTTGGAGTGTGGTGTTGCTGCACGGTTGGCTGTTGATTACACGCACTAGACCTGGAACCAGTTGCCGCCATTGGGGATTGATAAGGAGAAGAATGGGAGTATTGTAGCGTTGAGGGATGAGTGGGCACTGAGGTGGATTTCGGTGGTGAATTACGAGGAACAACATGTGGAGAAGCCATGGACAATTGTGAGTTGAAGCTCTGTGGCGTATCTGTTGAACCTGGACCGCTCAAAACAGTTGGAGATGCTGTTGTATTTGTCGTTGTAGAAGACTGAGAAACAGAAGGATTAGATGTGCAAGGAGCAACACTAGTAGCCGCCTGTTGAGGTGTGTTAGGCTGCTGGGAAGTTTGGATATTGTTGCTGTTGGCACATTGCATCGTCTTCTGCCTACGACGAAGAGTTTGTAGCTTTCGGAGACGCTGTTGTGATTCTTGTTGCTTCTTCATGGCTTTCAATTGAGCACAGAATATAACCAGACAATTGGCATCATTACACTTGGCCGAATGTGCCACAATTATCCTATGCATTTGACGACAAGGGATGCACTTAGTTCGGTCGTGCGGTGATTCCAGATGCGACAAACGACGTTTGAAATCCCGGCAACTTGGAACTCGGCAATTGGCATCTCGACAGACTGAGGTATGTTTCAACAACGCCACACATTTTTCCATTCGTAATCGATCTGATTGTTGAACTGATGCGTTGTTGGCACTATCATCACTAACCACAACTCTAGTCATCGGGTGATCATGTCCACGAGTCTTGAAGCATTCCTCGCAGAGATAAAAGTTCAAGCATTGCTTGCAAATTCTTGGCGTCTCGGTCTCAGCCTTGCATCCAGTGCACACATAGATTATTGTATCCTTATTTTCCTGATGAATTTCATACAGGAAAGTAAGAGTAGAAAATTTAGCCCTTCGGAGAGTAGAGAATTCCAGATGGCGTTCACGAGCCCGGCTCAGGAAAGAATCGCGACACTCCATGAGTTCAGATGAAAGAAGGGGATCAGGATCTTTAATAGGCTGGAGATTAGGAATTTGGTTTGGGTTGTAGAGATTAATCGTGAGGAAAGCATCAGCATGGCGCTGTAGATTTTCTTCCAGTCTACGTTGAACCTCAGCCTCAGTGTCTTCATTTGATGCAGCGGTAAGTCTCTTACGCTTCGTTCCACCTCCATGAATATTCAAAGAGGAACCAGCTCGCTTGATTTTGCGCTTCTTGGTCTTCTTTCGATTGTCCATTCCATTTAACCCACTACCACTCCCTGCACTACCTGGTTTTCGGTCACAATCAAGGCTTCCATGATTGGAGTCACAATCTTCTTCGCACTCAACGCATTCCTCTGCGGCTTCTTCCTCTTTCAGTCTTCTACGATTTTCAACGAGGGGCTATAAGCAGCAAAATGGACACGCAATTAACTCCAAGAATAATTAGTAACGCCAGTTTAAAAGTCAAAAAGAATGAGAACTTACTTTGAGCAGCTCCTCCATTGTATTTGGCCAGAGATCACCATCAAAGTAAGGGAGGTCGGTGGGTAGAAGGCGTTTAGTTTCTGAAGCATCTTCATAGATATTCTTATAATCGAAGACAATGCGTTCATTGTGACCCTTTTGGAGCATTTTGCGATACCAATCCTGAAGACGTTTGGGCTTGGGTATCTTTTGATCCACTGGATGCATGTGGAAGATGTAATCATCTCCTTCTCCAGGAGGACAAGCCCAGATATGGGCATTAGCATAGCCCTGTTTCTTCGCATAGTGCATGTAACCAATTAAGATCTCATGATAAATGTCTGTTCGGTATTGCTTGGGCTGGAAAAAGTAGACCGAATCCAGATAGGCTATGTAAACACGTCGAGTATTCGGAGGAGGGCAATCAGAAGAGTACTCTTGAACATAGAGACCAAAAAAACAAACTTCCTGACCATCAACCTCTTGAAAAGCGAAAATGGCCTTTGTTTTGTAGGGAAAGGACTCCGGAAATTTGCCACCAGCATAAAATACTTCTCGCATGTACTTCTTCACCTCAACACTTTTATAACCACTTGCAAGGACTCTAATCGTCACTTCCTTCGTATTAGGCTCATTTTTTTTCATAAAATCATTCACACGCTTTTCAAGAAACTCACTTAACTTGCACTTAGGGAGACGTTTAGCAGTAAAACGATTTGAAGCCTTGGGAATATTGTAGGTCTTTCGGCAATTGTCACAGACAAATCCACTAGGCCAAATCTCATCCATGTGGCAGGCACAAACTTTATGCCACTTGCGACCGCACTCACGACAATGAACAAATTTCTCGTGGACAATGGTATTATTAACTTGCTTCTTAAAACGACTCTTTTCCAGATGAACAGGGGAGCTCTGGTCGTCAATTGTAATTGTGCTTCCGGCACTTTGGAAGCACTTATCGCAAACAATATACTTGTCCAGAAATTCCTTCTTTTGTTCCTTGTCCGTGGTCTCACAAATATAATAGACATCATCACGATTGATATTACAAGACTTTTCAGTAAGACAGGAGAGAACATGAGGATGATGAACATAAGCACGTCCACAACAGAAACCCAAATCACGCATTAGCGGATCAATTAGGGACTCAAATATTTCCGACAACTTTGTACAAGCTTTATATATCTTTGTATTCTTCCTATTATACCTCCAAGCATTATTAAACATGAGCCAGAAATCATCAACTACATCCCAGGGACCCTCATAATCACCAATCTGTAATTTCTTTTCAATGGTAGAAAGATCCATTGGATTAGGAACGATGGATGGATAATCAGTGAGCCGAAGCTCCTCATAGGCCACAGGAACACGAAAATGGATGGAATGGGGCTCCTGGTTGTAAATATTACTGACGAGAGGGAGGAAGGCATTTTGAAGCTGTTCTTTTGTCCACATGCAGCGACGTTCATTGGAAAAATGCAACGGCTTTTGATCAATTGATGATGGTCCAGATGAAGTGGAAGGATCGTGCTTGGAAGTGGATTGAGCATCAGATGTTTCCTCAGTTTTAACTGACGATACAGCATCGTTCGATGGAGTGGAACTTTCGGGTTTGGGCTTTACGTTAGAATCCATATTTTCAACAGATTTTCCATTAGAAGATCCAGGTGCAGAACCACTAGTAAACCCTGTCGAACCACCACTATAAAGCAGTGAGGACTGAGATCGAGGATTGATCTGTTCAACAGGTTCTGATTTTATTGTGGAGGGTGAGATTGAGTTGCCATTGTGCTTTTCAAGCTTGTTTTTCAATTCATTTTGAAGACGGTCAACATAACGCTTCAGCTTGGCCCTATATTCATCCTCACTAGAACATTCTTTAAAGCATTTAGCTTCCTGTTTTTGAAAAACACTAAATATAACATCCGACCGGCTGTCATTATAGGTTTCCGGGTTAAACACTTGTCCTGCATAAGATCGAACAAGCTGATCACGGATTTCTGAACCGTATCGCGATCGCCAATCAAATCCATTTAGAGCAACAGAGGAAGAATTAGAATGCGTCTGTATTCCGTTAACCAAATTGTGATTGTTAGGAGAATTCTCATTATTGGGATTTCGATAAAAATTGTTAACGGAGCATAGACGACAATTGAGACCGCTGCAATTATCCAAGTGTTCAATAAGTCGCTTGCAGATATCACAGTGGGAGACCGTGCAATCACTGTCGTTGGAGCAATTGAACGCATGGTCTAGGAGCGAACGCATTTCCTTGCAAACAGAATATTGGCAAGGATTTGACGTTTCGTTACTTTGGCAAGTTATGGCATGTCGCAGAACGCGCATGTGTTTACTGGCAATAATGTAGGCTTCGTCTGAGTGAGATATGTCGTTAATAGACTGTTCTCGCACTTGTGAAAACGAACTCATATCAATATTTCAATGTAATCGATGATGTATAAGAGCCTATAAAATATTTTTTATAAAAAATAGCGGTTCTAAAGAGCATAAACTAAAAAATAAAATAAGAATGGAAACGTACATCTAACGCGGACATAGGAGACCAGGGAACAAATGGCGATTACGCTTAAAAATCCCACAGTCAAGACAGAAAACTTCAACAATCTTAACAATTGATATTTAAAAATATATAATTATAATAACTGATCATGTTTCTTAAAAATTCTAAAATTGTGTATTATAAATGTAAATAAATAAGAAAGTTTGGTTTACCGTTTTCAATTTATATTTTTCAATTTCACATAAGTACACTTGGAACTCAAACAATATTGAAAGCAAACAAAATTCGATTGCTAATACATTTCTTAAATTGTTTCTTATTGTGTAAGTTGTTTAAAAAGCACTTCAATGGGAATTTTCTTCGAAACGATTTAAACCTACAAATACAGAATCTTTATTTTCTCGATTCAACAGCCTCTTTTCATAACTTTTCAATGTATTATATATCGATTACTTCTGCGATTACCTAAATTGATTGGGATTTACAACTAGTAAATCTCTAGGTACTAATGGTTTGCTCATTCTAAAATACTCCCATTATTGAAACAATACTATCTCATAAAATGTTAAAATATTCGAATACTTTAAGTCTAGTATTTTGTGAAATTATCTTAATTTGTATTTTCTTTTTAATTAATATATACATCATAAACTGACGCTTATTGTCCGTAAGCTTGCACCTGAAATAGTGAACAAGTACCAAATGTCATTGTTTTAAATTTGTTGAATTTGGCGTTGTTAGAAGATATTCTTCTGTGTTTAAAAGTTGTTCTTATACTAAAGTAGGTTAAGATTATTACACTGTTTTTTCAGGCTTTCAAAAAAATTCTAATGATTATTTCCTTTTGTGAATCGGACTTTCACTAATTAATCGCCGTTGTACTTACTTCCATTGGAGCCCCATTTGATGCAATGCGTTTTATATGAACATTAATTTGGAAAAATGAGACATATTTGGTATTCTCTCTAAAACATATGTAAATAGGGCAGACACATAGGTTAAATAATATGATATTTGTAATGAATGGCAACAAAGTGTCATATATATAATTATTTATTCGAGCTATTTAAACAAAAATCTAGAAAGCAATTTTTTGAAAAACTTTTCTAATAAGATTTATGAATGTAGATAGCTAACCTCAGCTTACAATAGTTGCTTAATGCTTTGCGCAGCCTATATTCAATTTATTTTGTAAATCATTAACTGACTAGTTATCACACGGGTAAACGGAGCGAGTGAAGCATAATAGAATCCAGATTTTCCAAGCTGAATTTTGTTGGGAACCGGTTAATACCATGGCCACGTGAAACTCGCTAGGCATATCAATCCCTCTTCACTATGAACGACTCAGATTTTTATTCGTTGTCCTCTCATATTCTGAAAAACCTCAGCATCTTATTTACTAACCTCAGTGTTCCGCTGTTTCCCATGCTTAATAATGTCGAAATTCAAGTATCTGCCGAGTAGGAATTCTTATTTTTATTATGCCAATGAGCAAAAACTCTGGTAAAATTAAATTATTCAAACAAAGCATCAATGAAATCTACCATTCATATATGATTTTTATTGTAATGCAAGACTGGAATTCTCGGACTTTACATCACAAACTAAACCAGTCTAGAAAATTTATAATTGACATAGAAACTCATAAATCAAAACAGAATATAAGAACAGTTATGTTAAAAATACGCGTACAAAGAAGTTAAGCTCAATCTGCATTGACTTAAACAAATGGGCATAACCGTAAAGTGGTCTTTATCATTGAGCAAATGAGAAGGAAATCGTATTTTTATTTATAGATGAAATATCAGTTGCAACGAAGCTAACAACTATTTGCTATAGTGCTTATTTGGCATCGTCCGCCAATCATGCCAAGATTCAGGATGCATATGGGGTGGGGTGGGCAACATTTAGATACGTTGCAACAATTAATATACGAATAACCCCTTAGCTATATCTCAGCAATAATCTCTGATGAAATTTTTTCATGATTATCCAAGCAACGGCAATGATATCGAGAGCACAGAACTTAAAGAGTTAAGAACATTAATTACAAAGTGGCAAATTATTAACATACCTAGTCATTAATTACAATCTTTGGCTATATTGAAGAAACTTGACTGTTGGTTAGCTGAGATATAGCTCACACTCGTTCTCAATTATTCAGAAAGTTCTAACGGATATGGGATGTCTACTATCAGCTTTAGTAGTGTTGTGGGTCCCACAACATGTTTCTCAGGTCTTAGCTCTATTTTCAATCTCATTTTTAACTAATGCCCATCACTCATAAATATTCTACCACTTGACAAATCTATTTCATGAACTTGTAATAACACTTTCCGCTACTACTCAATTCATTTAAAACAAACATTTTTGATCCGCAAAGAAAAGCAGAACCATTCAAAGCTGGCAACGACACAAGCTTTCCCTTTTGGGTTACTTAATCGTAATCAAAGCAATTCTACTTCTGCCAAAAAATTTTTATCCGTGTTAGCAATAGGATCTAAAATAAAGTATCCACAGAAGGTCCACCTGTCATTGTGCATGCTTGAATGAAGATACCCAAATATTTCTCAGTCATCACACCAGAAGATTGCGAGCAAACATGGATGCCGCCTTAAGCTAGAATATTTTGTATGAAGGCAAAGCATATTAATTTTTTTAAATAGGATAAGCTTCTGGTCATCTCTAAATTGGTCTAAATTGAATGACTCAATTTATTCCCCCTTTGTGATACCGTTTGAAAAAAACATCATTAATGGCGACACAGAAAAAAATGGATTCATCGGCTGTAAACGTAGTTGGCAACAAATTAATTCGTCGTAGCCCAAGTACTCAATTGGTTTACGCCTTCGGTATTAGTAAATTAATGTTAAATATACGATTTTGGTGTAGACAATATGGTTCTTCAATATTGTAACGTTGTTTGGTAATACATAGTAATCGCAACATTTTTGGTCGTACTCGATGATGGGTAAAAAAGAATTTTAACATGCTTTTTTACATTAGAGAAGTTCATGCAGAAGAATAGAAACACTGTCAGGCCTATGGACAGTTGCCATGTTGTCCAAAGTGTTTAGAGGTAACAATGTCAGTCAGAAGACCGGAAAACCCATTTGAGTTTATAATTATAAGTAACCCAGAAAATGTGAGTTAAATTTATCAAACAACAATAGATATTTCTCTTTAACTAGGTCTTAATTGTATTGTTTTTCTTTGCACACACTACGATTCCACCCATTTTGATGATCTTGTAAATCACATTGAAGAACAACGCTGAGAAAGAAACGATCAATGCATTTTTCCGCTGACTTTCTTTCTAATACATAATGATCTAGAAACATGAATTACATTATATAGTTCTTGGTTTGACCCAAATCTAAATACCCTTAATAAGACATTACCAGTAATGACGCAGTTGTTTTGGTGGGAAAGTAAATATGGAGTGATTTTCTTGAACATTTTATTAATTCTAAATTTCTTGGGAAGCAAAGATTAAAGTTCAAGATAGTAGCATGTAAAATATAGTAACAATTGATCTGTTTGTTTTGAGAAAATTATAGCCGAAATACTCTATCAAATAGCTAATGACTGATTTATGAAAGCCAAGTTGAATAGATAGGAATATTTATTTATTTATATTAAATGATAGGTGTTTTGAAAGTTAGAATTAACAACTTAGTTGACTTAATGCTTCACAGAGGAGAGGAGATGGACATAAAGGTAGAAAAAAGGTGAAATGTGTACTGTGAAAGCGGTCGAATATGGCACACAGTGGAGTGATGGTAGTTTGAAGTCAGAAGTCAACTGGCGGGTAATAAACTATTTTTGACGTAAGAGCATGCGTTGCCCACGTGAAAGTAAGTCTATCGCACACCTCGAGAACTAGAATATAAAAATAAAACAATCATTCGTAACTTCAATAAAGGCAAATGAAAATATAAGACTGGAAACACCTACAAAATGAACTCAAATCAGATAGATGACAAAACATCGCACAGATTATCTTGAAATATCTAAACTATTTTAACATTTCTTACTATATTTTAATATTCAATATATTAACCTGAAAAACTTTTATCGCTCATCAAGCCTTTGTCAGCTTAACCTTGAATGTCAATGCTGCCACCTTGATAATTTTCCAATGTCCTGGTTGGAAAGTCTCAAGTCTTCCACGGCAGCGCGGCTGGTTTCAGAGGCTGCAAAGGAAATTTTCACTGAAAGCACTGCAGAAATCGATGGTGACTTAAATTCGTTTTTGTTTTATTTCAAAATATCTTATATTAAAGAGAACGTTTTTCCCTTAACTAATGCATTTGTTATGCTTCATGTCTTTTATTATGCTTTGGTTGCTTGTAGACCCAGTAGCTCATTTAAAGAATTCACGAATTCGTATAAATGAGTTGGAAAATCTAGTTTGTCAATTTAAATCCGAGATTCACAATTATCAAAAAGAAATTGCTGATCTGAATTTATGTATCGAAAACCTTGAATTGCGTGCTGTAAACAATCAAGAGGAAAGCGACTCACGCCTTCGTGAAAAAGAGGTCGGGTGCTTCCTTTCTTTTAGTTTGCCTTATTTTAGAAGAGAATTTGTGAGTTGCTCGAGCAGATAAAATGTCGAAGAGAAGAACCCGAAGGTGAATGTATGCCAATGAAATATCTTCAGTCCAGTAACTCATTTCCGCTTAACCTTAATGATTCTTCCAATGGAAATATGATAAATATCGAAAGTAACCATCATTTAACAAGCGACTCTGAAGAGGTAACTTCTTTGAATGCCAACATTTAGTTTTCTGCTGCACTGATTACATTATGGTGAATTTGTTTCAGAATTTACTCAAGGCGGAGCTCTTACGTAAATGTGAGGAGATCGAGGTAATTTAAACGCATATTGGAATTTTATAGCATTGCTTGTTATCGACGTTCTAAAGCAATATTGATTTAAAGAATGTCATTGCTCTTTGACTTAAGTCTTACATTTATACACTGGCCATATATATCACAATAATATTTGTTGTTTCGATAGACATCACATATTACCAGTTCGACTCTCAATGCTGAATAGGTAGGGAGAAGATCATAAAGAAAAGCCTTGTGTTTAGTTGTAACTAAGACAATTTCGCCACATATTCCCATTCACTTTCCATTTTTCTGTGTTTTATAAATTTTTATGACCAATGCTCCATTCGATAGTACGTAATTACTTTTGATAGAATCACTCGTTCACCAGTGTGGTTAATAATTTTGATTACCTTTGAACTTCACTTCCCGAAATAGCTCAGTGTCAGAGCCAAATAGTAACCGAGGGCTACTGTAATGGCGTGTTTTATCTAAAACATATATAAGTTAATGACCAGGTATTTAGCACACTTCAAGAGTATATAATTTTAAGAGTGATTGACAAAAGTGCCTAATTTAGTTTTTCTTGGATAAAAAAATAAGTCAATGAACGACCAATCTTGAATCGTTTTTAGGGTGTTTGGAGCCTCAGCATCTGGACTATGATTGTGCTGAGTCTCTGGGGTTTCTACGATGGGGGTAGCTTTCAGTTCCGAAGGTACGGTTGCTTGCTGATCACTTATGATGGAAAACGAGCTTTGATTTAGCTCGAATGTGATTTTACTGATTAAAACAGTTTAGATACTCGACCTAGTTGGGGAATTGAGATGTTTTTGAAGCAGGCAAAAGTACAAAAATCTTGTTTTTCTGCTCCATTGAACAGTATATTTGATTCGTTTGGTGATCAAATGAAGTGGATGTCGGGACTGATTTTTTTTGCCTTTTTACTTTCTAATTGCTGGATACAACTTCAGTTTATTATTTGTTGTTGAGAAAGGTTCAGTGGGAGACTTGTACAACCGGAGATCGGGTTGAATATTTTTGTTAACTTTTGCTAAATCTATTTCTGCTGGTAAGTTCCCAAGGATCTTGTATAAAATTGAGCAATCCAATGTCTGTCGTGAAACTGTTTTTGTTTCGCTTGTCTCTTTATAGCACAACTCGAGACATCAGAAAATATCTGACCTTGATTTAGTGACCCTTTGACCAAATCTCTGTCTTGCTCTATTCATTCGCTTCTTTAAATGTCATAATATATGGTATTGGCGTGAATTAATGGGCGCATTTATATTATATATCCTGCCAATGACCTCATAACGCACTTCTGTGTCCCATATTGTCGTTTTTTAAATTTATAAACGAAGAGCATAGTCGAGATGTAAGTTCGATCTTTTTTTCCACTACTAACTACGCGACTGCTAGTTGACATGAGCTTATGGTTTACTTACTTAACAAATGAGTTTTCAAACCTGTTTTGTGTTTGTGTGTGTTGAGGAGTTGCGTAAGGAACTGGAGCAGAGTCGTGAGGAAAAATACCAGGAAGTTGCCGCTTTGCAAGAGTCAAATACAGCTCGCCTCGTCAGACTTCAGGAACGTCTGCGGTATCTTGAGGAAATCCAAGCGTCAAAGGCTGTCGCTTCCCAAGATCTCCCTTCATTAGTAAGTTTCACTATTTAGAAGACTTCATTTTACGCCCCTTTGGAGTGCTCGGACTTGATAGCCTAGTCACTCTCCTCCTTCCCCCCCCCCCCTCCCCCTTTGTTTGATAAGCTGCAACTTATCGGAACTGGAGAAAACAAAGGTGTCATTATTCCTGTGCCATACTTTTTGCCACAATTTATGGTCAATGTTATCCCTATGGCAATGTTGTCATAGACCAGAGAATACTGAGCCCTTAATTCGTACCTCCATGTTTTCTGTGGTTGTTTTAACCACAATCAAAGAACTCAGTGATAACACTGGATTAAGTAAACTTTTGAAATCTTTTTCCTCACTTTTTCTATCAAGCAACTTTCAACAATTGTAGTGCAACATTTGTAAATAATTAACAAGAGAATAAATGAACGTGTGAAGTTACTATAATTGCCCTTTGGATAAAACTATTCCATTCTACCCAGCAGTTGCAGAAATCTATTTACCAGGCAATGAACCACTGTTGGCTAACTATTGTTATCACCATGGTGAGGATGTTGAAAGGACAATGACGTCACTTCCAGTGCACTGCAATGCATATTGATACGTTTTTCTCTCAGTATCCAATTCCTATATTACCCGATAGTATTTGCCAAATGACTTATTTTCAACAGCAAAGCTTACGTTGATGAATTTTCGGGAGGTCAATATACACGTCTTGATGTTGATCATGCTTTGGCTTTATCAAATAGACTCTAACAATGGTAAGCCTCTTGTTGGGCCTTGGTTATTGGTAACTGCCGTAAATAACAGTCATTTTCTGACTTGCCACGAAGGCAAGTATGTTGGTGCGTCAATTTGGTCAAGAAATCCTCATTTGATCTCCCGTCCTATGTTCACCTCTGTTCTTTTTTCTAAGTGAAAAATCAGGGGTTTTTGTAATCCAATCTACCTTACCATAATCTTAAATTCAAGTGTAAGTGACCTTCATGCCCCCTCCTAAACTCAAGTTTGAATTTAAAACGAAATACTCTCTCTCAATTTCTTTAGGATTCTCCTACATTGTCTGATGCCGCTGTACAGACTGAGATATCACCCGCTGTGGTACGTTTCTCGTGCTTTTTTTTTATCAGTGCTAGTTTTTATATTTTCGCTATTCCTTTTAAGTGTGTTAGATCTTTGGATTTTGTTGTATGCATAGATTTTGTTTCTGTCCTCTTTGCTATAGCTCGCACATTTTCTTTTATCATGGGATTTGTATAGAATTATACATTTTTGTTGTATATGTCATGCTAAATCCCTGTAAAAATTACGTGATTGTGCATGTTCCCAACTTATCAGAATCGCTGAATTATGATTTTCCCCTATGTGCTAGTAGTTTACAAATATTGTCGGTAGTGTTTAAAGCGCCTTTCTTCAGTTACCGATAATTGGGGGGGGGGGGGGTTAATACTAGTTTGCCCTTAGTTATATCCTTTCTTTACTTTTGCTTTCAATTTCTTTCGGGTTAAAATGACATTTCATTCTGTCTTTATCTAATTGTGGCTAGGGTTTAAATATTCCTAAAGGTACAGTTCTATCGGCTGAAATTGTTTTCAAAAGGAATAATGCGTGAAAATAATTGTCCACCCAAAGTATATTTTCTATAGGTCCCAACGTGAGGCAAAAGTAGAAGAATTGGATTTTGCACACTGCAAACATCACTACGTAGTCGTAGTGGATTATTTCCTTGGCTTTCATTTTCATTTGAGAATAAGCTGTGTTAATAGGACTCCAATCGCGCCTATGCTCTTAAAATGCACCCCTAATTTGGGCAGTAGGTAATTTTAATCTGTCATTTCTTCGTCTGTTAGATTTTTCTACAGTTCCATATGCATACATATTTATATTTTTATATCAAATGGCAGGCTTTATGGTAGCTATCATTAGCCCTTTAGTTGACTTCGCGCCTCATAGGGAGGAGGAGGAACATCGAAGTCACAAAAAGTCGAGAGGGAAGTGAAGAGTGATTCACAGTTATAAAAGAGACATACAGACACAAAGCAGAGAAAAGGTAAGATGGGTAATCTGGAAGTGGTCGAAAATGGTATACAGTGGGTATACAATGGTATACCATATATATATATATATATATATATATATATAGTGTGCGTATGGTCGCGTGCTTTTAGTTATGATCGGATTGCTGTATTCACAATTGCTGTTTTTAAGGATTCCGGATACTTCGGTTAACAGGGCATAGTCGTCCGCGTTTGAAGGTTTTCAATTATCTCGTTTTCCTAGTTGCCATGGCAGTTGAATTAACAAAATTAAACTTTTCTTTCCTCATGAATTATTGAATTAAATCGGTTATATTACCCAACCAACAGCCATATATTCACGACTATGCTGGATATTTTGTTCCCCTTTTTATATTCATATTCTAAATTTAGTCTGAGGTAGTCATTAAGGCAAATTTGTTCTAGTTGCTATGCAAATTTGTATGTGTTAAAATCATCGCCCAGACGTGGAATACTTTCTGAGTGCACAAGATAATTGCTGAAAGATGCTATTTCCTATTATATTCATTCGACGTCTGTTTACTTAGGAAACAATTCATTCGGCCGATGTGGTTATCCAAACAGATGAAATTAAGGTAAATTATTGAAAACCCAAATTGTTGGATATTACAGTGTCAAATCTGCTACCCAAATAATTTCTTTTAACTCCAGACTGAAGTATCAGACTTTGACCGAAAAGAAGCCGACAGTGAGGTGATCGCTGAAGAAGACGGAGAATACGCAGAGATGGAGTTAAAGGTGGCCCGTTTTGAACGGATCAGTGAGGCTCTCTCTAGCGCTGTCTCGCTTTTACCCCCACCATCCTCGGAGCCGTCGGTGGGTCCTATGGTGTGGCCTCCACAGCAACCTGAAGCACAAGTCGCTGTTCTTGTCGCGGCGGAAGCCGCCTCACGGCAAGAACTCATGTTGGCCCGTGACTACATTACCCAAATGCTCTCCCAACAGTGCTACTCTTCTCAATCTGATGAGCTCTCCCAACTTCTACTAGAAACCCTCACCGCATATACTAAGTTTCATCATGGTGAATGCACTCTCTCGGACTTTGAACAGGCTGTGAAACCGTTGATTGAGAGAGACGAGTCCTATGCCGAATTGATTGAGCAGCTTAAAGTGTCTCCTCTTGAGAAATGCTTAAATGAAATTTGTTTTCAACTAGAAGATAATGGAAGGCTCACAAAGAATATAGAGGACTATAATAACCCAAGTGTCGAAAAACTTGTCAAACTACTTTCTCGGAAGAAGAAAGACCCACTTCGAGAGTTCTTGTTGACTGGAGCAGGAAGAGTTGACCCAGAGGATCAGAAAATTGTTGATAGATTCAATTTCCTGATCAAGGATTCGGAATACAAGAAAGCTCTGTGTGATAGCTTACTACAGCTTCTTGAAAATAGCTCAATAAAGTTAGATATGGAAAACCTTGACTCTGACGGTATTATTATCGTCAAGCGAGTGGCTGATGCACTCTCAACGAAAAATAAGACTCTGAATATGGTAAAAGACGAAACAGTCGAAAGCATTCGAAATCGGTTAAAAGCTGTCGATGTGGCTACACTGTCGCCAGAAGTGAGGTCTGCATTTGAACTCATCAATTCCCTGTTTGATTTTATTGACGCTGGAGATGAATCAGACCCTAATTTGACAACCACAGTTGATTTATTAAAATTACTTTCTCAACGTACTTATGAAGGAATGATGCCCCAGACTGGTTCGGATTACAAGCTTCGTGATTATCTGAAGGGATTGATGATGAACTCCAGTTCTCTAGATCTGATTTCCTTGTGCCCTGATGATCAGGTTCTTGTGAATCACCTTGTTGAAAAGATGAATCGTGAATCCATCCATAGCACGGACTTACCGGCTTTAGTAAATTTACTGAAATCTGTTACTGAAGAAATTCAGGCGAATCAGTTGGAAGGATTACAGCAGAAGATTAAATCATCGCAACTAGATCAAGAGGTGACACAGAATTTAGAAAATATCATAGTGGGTTACACAAATCTCTGGGCCATGTATACACAGGCGGAGAAAGACAAGATTGCTCTCGGGCAACTTGTGAGAAGTAAGCATGAGGAGAGTAAGGCCTATCACGCCCAATTGCAGAAACTTCTCGCTGAAAGACAGTCTACTGTACGTTAAAGTTCTCCCTTTCAGTGTGTGAATGATGCCAATTTCGTTTTTTTAAATATGGATTTTTAATTGCCTTATTGTTAGGGTGCAATTCGAAGTGAAGAGGCGGCTAGATTGCAAGCCAAGATTGAAAGGTTGGAATCGCATTTACTTCAAGTGAGTTCTTTATTTTCAGTTACATTTTATATCCCGTGAGATGTGTATGTGTGATCTTCGATATATTTATGTCTCAAATGATGCGTCTAATATGCCTCTCATTAATTGGTGATATTTAAAAAAAATACGCTTCCTTTCTGTGATCAGTTAATTCTCCTTTTTTAACAGCTCTCGAGGTATAATGCAAAACACATAGACCTTTCATTGCTCACTGAGGTATTCTCTTACTTGAGTAGTTTGGGCTAAGTGTATTTTTATGGATCAAATGACGATTTCTTTTGGTCACTTGTTTATGCACAGGTTCATATAACTTAAGTAGACTCCGTTCAGCAAACCGAGAAAATTTCGGTATAGTTAGGCTGAAAATCACGAAATTGTGGTTATTTAATATGCCACACGCGGAAAATTAATATTAAAATGCAGTAATACGTAGTACGCTTTTTGTGTTAAGTTGATAAAATTCGAATTTTGAAATTTTACCAGTGTCTCTATTTCTCTGGTCACTGACTTATCAGATTTATTTAAGTTGTGGTTGTGGGTTTAATTTGTATGGAGATGACTGAAATGTTTTGTTCCCAATTTAGCAGCAATTTAGCAGACTATTTCCTGAAGTAAAAGTCTCATTTGATTGGAGTATGGTGGTTGACTTGGAGATCATGCATCGCCTCTGCGGTCTTGAGTCCTGTTTGTTACCATTCTTTCACCACTTGAGTCAGAAACCATAAGTTTTATAGCTGTCGCCAAGGTGCCATTTCGACTTTAAGAAGAAGAAGAGAGGAATCTTTTTGTCTCGAATGACATTTTTCTTATTAACAAAGTAAAATTTCCACATTTACGATGGAGTATGTGATAAATTATTGTCTATCTGATTAGCTAATAACTGCACCAATCGGTTCTCTGCAGACAGCCTTGCTTTTTGGGTACGAGTGTGGGAATTCAACCCTCTATAATCTCCTACACGAGAGACGAAGATAGCGAATTCTCTCTAGTATGACAGGAAGTAATTGATTAGGCCTCCTGGTAATAACTAAAAGAGCTTCATTTATTACTTCCTCGATGCTCTTAAGGTGTTGCTTGTAAATTTATCGCATTGTCTGTTTTTGAACTGTTTATTTTATAAAACAATAAGTGGTTTATTTAAATGATCCATTTCTATGGGTATGAATATTTATTAATACCAAATGGTAGGCTTTATGATATTTGCCATTCGGGCTTCACAGGGGGGAAGAACATGTATATATAGGCTTTAGGATAGTTAGCAGTAGTCCGTTAGTTGACTTCTGGCTTCCCAGTATGAATATGGGCTAATAAATCTCCACGATTCCCTCCAGATCCAAAGATAAGAACTCAGACTGGCTATTTTGGACTACCATTTGTTTGCTTGCTTTTAGATAACTTTATCTGCACTTTATTACATGTTATATTTCTTATCAAGAATATTTTCTGTCTAGATTCGCATATTTCTCCTTTTAATCTAATTCACACGCGTTTCCTTATGATCACATGTGTGTGTGTGTGTACGTGTTCAATCAAGTCTCAACTATTAATATTTTTTCATCTTCAAAATGCATAAAACCACGGGAACAAGGAGTGAGCACAACAGTCAAGGTGTATTACAAAGGAAGTTATGAAATTGAGGTCCATCCTTTGTGATAATTGCTCATTACTCTTTACCCCTTTGTACTAAGAAACCATTTTCCAACGCACATTGTTATAGTAGCACCAGGAATCCACCCTAATGAAAACTTGCTTTCTCTCACCCCCCCCCCCTCCCCGCCCCTCTCCTTATTAACCAAACTTAATGGAATCAACATTTTGGCTCACTGAGTTTCAACGGAGAGCCTCAGACATCACAGAAATTAACCGCTGTCAATCGAATGTAATGTATTTTTCCCACTTACATGATTAACGGTATTAGCTAAAACCAGTCAGGGTATGGATCGCTTGCTGTGATATCTTCCCTTTCACAGTAAGCATTCGAAGATGTCCTGTGCCATCTTAGTAAGGAACTAACTAAGGCAGAAGTGGATCGTCGATAAAATAGGCTTTGTGGTAGATGTGCCTCACCTTCATAGTAATTTAAGGTAGTTGAAGTGAAATTCAAGATCTCAAGTACTTGTGGTCAGCATTTAACCGTAACATCGGATCTTTGAAGAGGCATAATCGTGTCCTTTTATTTTTCATCATACTTGGCAACGAGTCTTTTTTCTCCTTCTTACTCCTTTAGGCAGAAGAGAACCACACTCAGGAGGCAGTGCTAGCTGAGGAGCGTGAAGCTTCCCTACGCGAGACACTGGCTCGAACCGAAGCAGAGGTGGGGGATCTGAAGGAGTTTATAGAAACAGCCGAAGAACGCATCGAATGTGCTCGCGAGGAGCGCGATGCAGCAAAAGAAGCAGCTCGTGCCTGTCAGAACGAACTTGCGGCTCTTCGTGTCAACCATAATAATCTGCTAAAGGCACTCGATTCTCTTGAGAAGGGTATGTTTGTACTGAGCTTTAGCAGTGGCTGTAGGGATATTGCTGCGTTATAATCACCCCACGCTGAGTGCTGGTGAAGGTGTTGAGTTCTTACCCTTCTCGTTGCTGGAGCTTAACCGAGCTCTAGAGAACTGAGTTGAATTTCGAGGTTATTTCTCTTAATTTACAGGATATGACGTAGCCGGCAAGAAAGTTTGTGCATTATTTAAAGTGGCGAAGCAGAAATCTACCGCGTTTGCTTTAAAACTATCAGATTCTTTAGTGTATTTAGCTGTCTGTTTTAGGAGGGGGGGGGGTCCTTTTTTATTATTAAGATATGGAAATTTTTCCGTTAATGAGGTGTCATAAGGACAAACATTTGAGTATTTGTTCATCCATCCTACATTGTGCCAACTTTTCTAGAAGCGCATTTACAAACATTGGCAATTCACTCATCTATTGTTTTTTTTGGTATTAATATCAAATTATAATGTGGCGTACTTACTCCTTCTAATGCTTCGAGTGCCTCATTTTTGAAGCCTTACTTAAGCAGAATTGTTTGGAAGGCATCAGGTTGCCTTCTGTCCGAATTGTATTTTAATGAGTTGTGCTGTCTCGCGGTTACAATTTGTTCTGATTCAAATATGGTATACCCGAATGTGCGCACTAATGAAGCCTTAACGTCGTCTTCACTTGCTCGGTCGGTCTTAATGTTGAATTTCCATCCTGCATTCCTTCCGAAAACATTTATTTATTTCAAATGGTGGGCTTCATGACACAAATAATATTTATTTATTTCAAATGGTAGGCTTCATGATACTCTATCATTTAGCCCTTTAGCTGACTTCGGGCTTCACAGAGGAGAGGAGTATTAATGTCTCAAAAAGTTTATTTATATTTATTTCAAATGGCGGGCTTTATGACACTTATCATTAGTCCTTTAGCTGACTTCGGGCTTCACAGAGGGAAGGTTCATCAAAGTAGCAGAAAGTCGAGGGGTGGGGAAGAGAAGAGCGAATCACAGATGGGTGGAATATGACAACCAGGGGGGTCGTGGTAGTTTGAAGTCAGAAGTCAACTGCCGGTTAATAGACTTTTTCGCCGTATGAGTATACGTTGCCCAGGGTGCACCACGTGGAGGTAAGTCTATCGCACACCCCATGTCTCAAAAAGTGGAGAGGGAGAAGCAGAAGATTGATTTACAGATGTAAAAGAGACAGACAGACACAAAGGTAGAAAAAGGTGAAATTGGCAAAAAGTCGAGAGGGGGACAGAATAATGATTCAGGATGTAAAAGAGATAGACAGACACAAAGGTAGAGAAAAAGTATGTAAAAGAGACAGACAGACACAAAGGCAGAGAAAAGGCAATATGAGAAAAAGAGGCAGACAGACACAAAGGTAGAGAAAAAGGGATAAAAGAGACAGGCAGACACAAAGGTAGAAAAAAGGTGAGTACTGTTTACTTAGTCGAATATGAAATGCGGTGGGGTCTTGGACTGTTTACTTAGTCGAATATGAAATGCGGTGGGGTCTTGGTAAAAGAGACAGACAGACACAAAGGCAGAGAAAAGGTAGGTAAACAGATACAAAGGCAGAGAAAAAGTAGGGATAAGTATGGTGGAAGTGATCGAATAAGACATACAGTGTGAGACAGACACAAAGGCATAGAAAAGGTAAGATGAGTACTGCGGAATGGATCGAATATGACATATATTGTGATCATGGTAGATTAAAGTCAGAAGTCAACTTCCAGTTTATGGACTTTTTTGCCGTATGAGAATGCGTTGCCCAGGGTGTACCACG